CAGTATAATACTGGATAAAACAGACATGGGAAAACTACACGAGACATTACAATACGAAATGAGTCAACCACAACAACTGTAACCGGTACGGGTACTTGGTTATTGGTTTTGTTTTATGTTTTGTTTTAAGTATCGTTTTGATACTTGGTTTGTTTTAAGTATCGTTTGATACTTGGTTTTGTTTTATGTTTTGTTTTAAGTATCGTTTTGATACTTGGTTTGTTTTAAGTATCGTTTGATACTTGGTTGTGTTTTATGTTTTGTTTTAAGTATCGTTTGATACTTGGTTTTGTTTTATGTTTTGTTTTAAGTATCGTTTTGATACTTGGTTTGTTTTAAGTATCGTTTGATACTTGGTTTTGTTTTATTTTAAGTATCGCTTTGATACTTAAAGAGTTTTACCAAAGAGTATCAATTGATACCCTTGATTAGTTTCGTTCATGCTAGACATGAACAGATTTGTGTATTTAAAGACCGCCTGTTTTTACGATCGAAAAGGCAGACTTCGACAGACAGTATTTCAATATACTTGGTTGAACGGTTACTTCTTTGTTCCTCAGTACGCCCTCGAAGCCTCCTTTAGTTCTCAGCTCTCGCCTCCTCTCTGGAAGAGCAGGCCACCTGCCAACTATCGTATCCATTACCGATAACGTGATTAGCACCTTGCGAACACGTTACAACAACGGCAAAAAGAACAATACGATAAACACTGAAGATTGGATCCAAACATACAACAGGGAGATATGGTATGTGTAATGATCCCCTTTCAGATAGTTAGTTCTTGGCGATGGGGAACGATACTTACCTCTTCTTTCTCTTTCTTTCCTTGTCTTACGATAGCTCTAGGCCTCTGCCTATGTTACCGATAGTACAAGATCTCTGTCTTCTATCGGAAACACCTATCATAAGCTTTCTCTAACTCGTCTTCGTAATGAGTACCTCTTAGCGTAAGGATAAAGTTGCAATAAGGATAAAGATCGTAAAGGTGTTTTATATTCGTTAAAGTAATATGTTGGAAAAGTACTTAGAACAAAGTGTGAAGAACCTATCTTTCTTGGCCGCATCGGCCTCCTTATATAGTGTTCTTCCCGCCTTTAATCATGTGACCTAAAGTGGTCACATGTGCAAAACCAAATCAAAACAAACTAGTCATGTGACTGAAGTGATCACATGCTCAAAACCCATGACCTTATAGCGAGGTCATGTGCAAAACTCATAAAACAATCATAACGTAATAAACAAGTCATATGACTCGACTGAGTCATATGCACGAAACCCATGACATCATAATGAGGTCATGTGCGAAACATAAATCATATGTGCAAGGCTTGCCCGTAAGGCATACTCGTCAGGCGCATGTCCCATGACTCATACTTGAGCCATGTGCGAAAGCATCACAAATCCCACACATAACTAATCATACAACTCGAATAGGTTATATGCGTGAAACAATAACATACCTGTGACTCATAACCATGTGTCACGTGAAAACCCTTTCCTTACTAAGTCACGTTCGTGACAGTATGGCTAATACCACGCAATATTCATATGACGTGACCATCAAAGAAATTAGACTATAAGAAAATCAGGCCATTCAAGATACTGGAAAGAGTGGACAACAGAGCTTATAAACTCAACCTTCCCTCCTCAATGTGAATATACAACACATTCCACATCTTACTTCTCGAATTACACAATAACAATAAGTTTCCCTCACAAACAATTATTCCTCCTCCTCCATTTGAACTCAACGGAGAACCAGAATATGAACTCGACGAGATAGTCGATTCTTGCTTCTTCTACGGAAATCTACAATACCGAGCCAGGTGGACCAGTTACTCACCAGAATAGGATAAAACTTGGTACTCTGCACACAACTTCGAATACGGACAAGATACCATCTCAACTTTCCACCAGCGATACCTAGCCAAACCCTGTCCAGGTAACGATCACATTCAACCAAGACAAAGGTGAGGGAAAGGCTCCTGCACCATTGCAACCACACAAGGGCTATCGCCCCAGCCAAACTATACCAACCAGTCCTGAATACTTATTCATGGGGCAGACCGACGAAGAACTCAGGGAAAGGGAAAAACAAGCATAGCATAATGTCATGTCATGGACGGTATGCTACAATGATGGATGTCCCACACACTATGTCAACAAGAAAGACTCTGAGTGGTTCCCAAGAGAATACAAAAAGTATGGTCCACACCCGGACCATGCCCTAAAGCACTGGAAATAGTGCTTTAACAACATGTGCAAGATGCACAGGATGAAGAAAATCACTGCGGGATACTACTCACAGAAGGATGGAACAAAGAAAGAGTTGGACAGAAAGGACACCATAATATGGCAGAGGGCTAGGGCTTCGAGGATGAGGTCCAGGGAGGGGGGAGCCCAAAATTCATCTACAGAAACAGAACTGGATACCAGAAGCCTATACAGGCAAATCAGAGGACTTCAGGAATAACTTGGCCAGGCCGAGGCCACAATCTCAGCAAACAAAAAAACGTTCGCAGAGCTAAGGCAGCTAAATGACAGTCAACAGCACACGATTGAGATGGCGAACCTCATCATGGAAACAGTGAGGATAAGATGGCGGGAAGCGGATGACAAGTTCAATAGGCTACGGAGGTCCATACATTCGGCAGGACGGGAATAATTGAAACTTGGGGATAAAGCCTGATGGAACTCAGGCTTAGGGGAAGAGAAGCTAATGTCATGAATGTAGCTTGGCACAGAAAAGGTTTTCACATGACTCATGATTATGAGTCATAGGTATGTTATTGTTTCACGCATATGACTCATTTGGGTCATATGACTTATTATGTTATGATTTATTATCTTTCCCACATGACTCGATTATGAGTCATGAGACGTGCGCCTGGTGAGTATGCCTTGCGAGTGTGCCTTGCAGGTATGCCTTGCGCATATAATTTATGTTTTGCACATGACCTCATTATGAGGTCATAGGTTTCACGCATATGACTCAGTCAAGTCATATGACTTATTTATTGCGTTATGATTGGTTTATGAGTTTTCACACATGACCTTACTATGAGGTCATGGGGTTTGAACATGTGACCACTTTGGTCACATGACTAGTTTGTTATAATTTGGTTTCGCACATGTGACCACTTTGGGTCACATGACTATGGGTGGAAAGAACACAATATAAGGAGGCCGAAGTGGCCGAGAAGGATAGGTTCTTCACGTTTTGTTTTAAGTACTTTTCCTACTTATTACTTTAACAAATATAAAACACCTTTATGATCTTTATCTTTATTGCAATGTTATCGTTATGCCAAGGAAAGCTCTTCACAAAGAAGAGTTAGAGAAAGCTTACGATAGGCATTCCCGGTAGAAGACAGAGGTCTTATACTATCGGTAACGTAGGCAGAAGCCTAGTGCTATCATAAGACTAAGGAAAGAAACAGAAGAAGAAGAGAAGTATCGTTCCCTGTTGCCAAGAACTAACTATCCAAGGAGGGATCGTTACAGTGACCAGTACAATGGCTCTTTGAGGGTGTACTATTTGCTTTTGTCCATTGGTATATCTTGAAGTTGTTATTAAGTTTCCTATTCTTAAGTTTATAGTTCTAATACTTACCTTTTAGCAGGTTCTTCGGTCAATGTTTAAGTGCTGGCTAATCTTCATCCATCACCATCCAGCCTCATCACGAAGTGTAATGACCTTAATATGCTCATCTCGAGTAGTTTCATGGTGTCGAATGCCTTGTGGGTTTTGCTCATGAACTCCAGTTTGCTTCATTCTTTTTTTTTTTTTTTTTCACAGTTCAGCACATTCACAATAGAGATATGGTCAGATGAGGTGTATTGATTGTGTTTATAGTATCCTCCTACAGATATTAAAAAGGGGGTGTTATTGCCAAGGGGATGGCTGAGACCCGAGATGAGTCCTTGTACTACTGCGCGCAAAATACCCTTACACCCGTGTACAGTCTGGTGACGGACGAATTCACAGTTCACAACTGCACCGACTCACTCAGCGGGAAAAAGCCGAACTGCCAAACCCATCAACTCCTCCCGGCTCCCAGATTAGTAATGGAGTACGAGATTTGGAAAGCTTGGCGATATCATACCGCACCGCACGCCCTGCAAAATCCGCACTTTTCGAATCTAATTCCTGCAGCCTGGTGGTGCACGCACCAAGTGCGTCGAGTGCAACTCCATGACTCCCAGAACTCATCACCTTTGTGCGACATAAACTTACAACTTCAAAAACTACCACAACGCCTACCCGCCCTGAGACGGTCGTTTCCACCTTCCGTTTCGTGTTCACCCCTCATCATCATCTAGAATCACTGCAAACAAATCTTATCCACACGCACAAATGCATCGCCAGCGGAACGGTGGTGATACCTAAGGTGGACGACGCCCCGCAAAAAAAAAAAAAAAAAAACCTAGGGATTCCCGAATCACGACGGCTCAGCTAAGGCTTTTACAAATCGACGAATGAACTAGTTTACTCACACGCGAACGTTAGGAGGAAGGAAAGAAATAGAGGGGGAGGGGAGTGACGAATTTTTCACTTCGGTGCTGGTATGATAGAGTAACAAGGCATCGAAAGGTCACAGTTCCTGCAAGGGTGGAACTATGGCTTTTGAGTTTCGCCGAGAGAAGATGTATTCTACCGACTTTGCCCGTTCGAGGCGTCCACCGTCGATGCATCCCGGGTGTTCGGGGCGTGGAAAAGCTTCGAAAATTCATATCGCACCCCAGATGTAGGACATGCACATAATATGCACACCTCCCCGGAAATCTACGGCGCTGTGACAATCGCTCTTACAGATACCTTGGATTTTTGTGAGGGTTATCTGCTGTCGTCGTCGTCTCTTCTACCACTCCTCAGTGACCATAGTACCTAGAGTGAAGTTTTGTGACTCCGTGAAACTCACCAGCTTGCAATCCGAGTTAAGCCGCATAGAATCAAGTTATATCCCACCCTACCACTAACCATAACGCCCAGCTACACTCCCCCATACCAACCAGCCGTTTCAACCTTCCACCTTAAGTTATGCCTACAGGAGTTACTTGTAAAGAAGCACAAAGGGACTGACAGTTGGCAAACCACACCTAAATTTTGAGCGTAACCATATTACCCCGAGATGACTCCAAGAGAGAGAAAAAGAAAAAAGAAGAAAACCACACAGCGCACCTGACTTTTTAGCACATCGGTAACTCCAAAAGTACCCATGTTTGACGTGTACAGTATGGAACAATACTCGAGGCTAGGGTTCGACCCTCAGATGCCTTAGGTTGCCCCCCCCGGTAATGGGAATGCCTACCTTTCTCCAAGATTTGCGTGCCCATGCACCCTCGCATCCGCTCCCGCGGAGGATGGGTCACGGGTAAGATAAGTGAGTATGCTTCAGAAATCCCGGCTCTGTGGCGCTCGCCCGCCACAGTATCCTGCCTGCCCACCACGGCGTCCCGTGGTGCCGGTGGTTCGAGTGAAACTTCGTGACTTGGACTTGCTCCGTCCACTACAGTACATGCGGAGGCATAAAAAAACAAAAGTACCAGCATCCCCCATCCGAACGGAAATTCCAAACTTCCGCCTCACACGACAGAACAAGACCGGGAGCCCCAGCCTGGCCCAGCATGGGCCAGCCACGAGTGACCCTCCATGACCCTCCCACCACGTCCCTAATCCGGCAAGCCCGCCGAGATAAAACAAGCTGAAAAACGCGTTTGTTGTCTCAAAAAGCAAGCAGTGACCATGATTTGTGCTTTTTCAACCGCATCCCGGATTCCGAATGCATTGCATCGGGGCTGTAACGCATTGCAGAAGAGATGAACGTGATGAGAAAACCATGCGCAGCGATGAGCTTGGGGTAAGGTTGTTCGGGTTGGCCAGGAAGGAAAGGGCGAAAACCGCATGCGTGGGATAACAATTTTTCTGTTGCCGAGCCGGGGTTGCGCGAGTTCGGGCTGGAGGGTAGGTAGGTGGTGGCGATGGTGGTGGTGGTGGTGGTGAGCTTCAGCGGTTTGATTTCTTACTTTTTTTGATCGGTAGGGTGAGGCTGGTGTTCGGGTAGATACGGGAGAGCTTCCTAGTGATAGTGGTGGTGATAAAGCGAGAAAGGGAGAGATAGAAGGGAAAAAATTGCTTTTTTTTTTTCGGGGCGCGGCGAGATCGGAAGCATCACTTGTGAGGCGAAGAGCAGATTGTGAGTTCTGGGCCGAGCATTTTGTAGCACATTTGGGGTACTGTAGTTTTTTTTTTTTTTTTTTTTTTATGATAGAAAAAATCAATCCGAGTTCTCAATTCCCAACAACACCGCAAATACCCGTTAACGTACATCGGATACTAAACAAGATGCTACGAAACACTATCATCAAGTACTCGAGTGCAGTGCAAGGAACAAGTGTGAGCGCATGCAATGCTTCCGTGGCTACCCCAACAAGTAGATAAAATGTAAAATGACAACTCCAACAGTTACAAAAACGATAAAGGAAAACACCAAATGGCTGCAACAGCGAGGGAAAACAATCCGAAAAAAATTAACAAAGTGCCTCACAATCAAAAAGCATTCTAAACGCAGACTACTTGAGAACAACCACATTCCCCCGGCCATCACCCCTCTGAAACCTTAATGTCCTCTCAGACCTCTCCCTCTCTTCCATCTTGACCTTCTCCTTCAGCAGCGTCTCTCCAACTTTACGCTGCTTCTCCTGGGCTTTGGCTCTCGCTTTGAAAGCTTCATGCTCATCTTTCGCCCTTCCGGTGATCTCTGCCCTCTCCTCTAATCTGGTTGCTCTATCTTCTGCTCTAGCAGCCTTCTCTTCAGCTCTCGCTAGCTTCTCCTGCGAAGACCCGGGCAATCCGATGAATCCTGTTGGTCCGAAAGTTGGGGATGTGGTGGTGGTAGTTGTAGTGACAGTCTTGGAAATACGGTGCGAAGAGTGATCAGAATTAAGGCGCACTGTGGCACCGGAAACCGGGGGTGGCTCTGGTACGTAGGGTGGGGCTTCGTGGATTATAGTCTTCTCTTCGAAGGAGACCGCTTTGCCGGTTGAGTGACGACGACCTGGTGTGCATGTTAGCATACAGGGCCAGCAGAATCGGGGTGGGTGATGGTGAAGGGTATGATATTATTCAAGGAAAGGGCTAGGAGAAATTACAGTGTACTCACGTCGGATCTCCTCCGTCAGATCCACCAATCTCTCGATTTCGGTCCTACCGAGTGCTCGCAGGACGACAATGCATCCGTCCAGGTCTTCAGTCCATGGCAGTCCCATCTCCTCAACGGCTTCCTTGCTCACAAGCTTCCGTGGAAACCTGGTGCGGCCTCGTCGACCGATTCCACCGTCTGCATTGCCTTCATGATCATCCTGGATATCGATTGACTTGTAATATCTAGTGTATCCGTGGCTAGCAAGTGCTCCCGCAGAGAGCGGACCGGACATGGAGTCCCGTCGCCGACGATCACGACCAGATGATGCAGGTACAAGCAGAGCGCGATCGCCACGGTAGGTACCGTGGGCTCTGGATTCGGTGTGGTAAGCATTCAGTGATCGAGAGGTTGGCGGGGGAGATGGCACAGGGGGCCGTCTGTGAACAACGATAGGAGGAGGGCGGCCATCCGCTGACATGCGGGGAGCCTCAACAATCCTAACACCATCACTGATGGACTGTCTTCGTGGGCGGCTAGGGTGGTGAGGATGGTGGTGAGTAGAAACAGAAGTGGTTGAAGAAGTCGGGGTCCCAGACCAGGGGGTATTGAGTGGGAGCGAAGAATCGCAGGATGAGCAGGTAGACTCGGCCGGGGAGGGGGGGTTTATGGGAACCATCTGACCGCTGCGAGGAGCGGAATGGGGCATGGCAAGAGTGCCTGTGGATCCCCGGTAGGGGTTAACGGTATGGACCGCGTAGTGGGACATTTCGGCTGGCTCGGTGGGTTGAACAAGTGAATTGCTCGAGGAGTTCTTAATGTTTGGGTACTTCAGTTTGACGGTTTGATAGAATGGCTGAAGGGATGATCAGTAGTCGGTAGCTTTCTAGGTAAGAAAGTAGTAAAGGATTTTTGTGTTAAAGGATGTTTTGGGATTGTGAATGTTCCAAACTTCGAGGGGTAGTCTATATATATATATATATTGTATAGAGAGGGTTTCCGTTGTTTGTTGTTGTCGTTGTTGTTGTTGGTAGTGTCACTGGCGAGCGGAGTGTGGAAGGGAGGAGAAGCGGACGGGAATAGTAGTTGGTTTATATGCGTCGCCCGGGCTGATCCTACTGGTAATGGAAGTCCTCCCTGCCCATCACGAGCAGTATTCCATCCGATAAGAGGGTCTCATTCGCTCCGAGTGCTCCAGTCCGCGGTGCACTTCCCTTCCTCCCCCCATGCCATTGGGACTATCATATCAAAACAGGGGCAGTGCTGCCAGGAGAATGGCTTCCACTCCCCCAATTCTTTTCCCGGCTGCCGAGTATGATGCCCCGCGGATTGCTAGTGGCAGTACGGTAGTTTACGGTGCTGCCCTGCCCTACCACAAAGTTATCCGAGCACTCGAGTACAGGCGAGACAGACAGGCATTGGCAAGGTGCACTATGTCACAGCAACAGGAAGGGTTTAGAGCCCCCCTACTCGAGCAGACACGGAGGGTTGCACGACAGGCACAGCACAAGCGACCAATTGCTACTGCGCTCGAGTAGCAGTACTGCACCAGTACCGCGCAAGCCCCAGAGAGCGTCCGTGACGCTCCAACTTGCCTCAAAAGAATAGGAAATGTCAGTCAGAAAAAGGAAACAACTTGTTCGTGCATATGATAGCATTAAAAATAAAATAAAATAAAATCACTCACTCACCTCAACCCAAACAAAGTTTCACTGCTCGAGTATTTTCTAGCAGGGGAGCAGGGGGAAGGGACCCTTACCGTATCTGCATTCAAGGACGGTAGCAGCCCAGGAATCGTCGAATGCGGATTACTGTACAGTGCAGTACTCGTACAGTACTGTACTCCAGCAGGTACCGTACGTGTAACTTGAGAATATCCATTGGTTCAGGGCCCCTTGTTTGCCTGAAATTGTTGACATCTCAGGTGAGCGAGTGTGAAGGCGATATCCAATAAATTACCTTTACCTACCCATGCTGTATCATCCAACCAACGAGATATCAATCAGACACAATCGCGTAAAGCATGAAATTGCAGCGCAAAACAAAGCAAGGTTTCCACAGCAGCTTCATCGTGTTTTTCAGTGGACCGATCAAAGGATTGAACCTCCATCTACAGGTACCGGCACTCGTACCCTTCCATCATGCCCATTTTCACCCTCCCCCAGCAGACTATTCCTTCCCCTGGTCAAAGAGAGCAGGCTAGACTAGGTAGGAAATGTGGAAAAAGAGAAAGTGGGTCACGATTGATGAGTTGTCACCCTAGATTCCAAATGCCGTGAGAAAACTCGCTTAATACCGGTGGAGGCATTCAGCCCCAGGCTCAAGAAACGTTTGTGCGAGTTTCTCCGAGTTGCAAGACTTTGGCGTGCGCGTAGACTGACGCCTTCTTTAAAGTTCTTTTGCGTGAAAAATGTTGGAACTCGAAAAACGCTTCTCCGGACCCAGGGCTGAATGCCTCTCTGCCCGAGTGTACCCGAGCAGTTCCACGGGTACTTGTACTCGAGTAGAGTAGAGGCCAAGCTAGGCTGTGATAGTCTGCTCGAGTAAGTTATGTGCGAGTATTGTAGAGTCAGTGTAGTCTACTCGTAGTAGACTGCCCGAGTAAAGAGATCCGCCATTTCCCCTCGGAAAGAAAATGTGCGGTATTATGACATCATTCAACTACTGTTTACCGCTTCTGACCCTTGCCTCAAAACGCGTCACTCACCCCCCCGGTCTGCTACCGGTATCATAGCCCCGCCCATCGTTCTCTGGTGTATGATACTCGTACTGTAGTCTGCGCAGCGAGCCTCGACTGGATACTCTAAACTCTCTCTCTTTGAGTGCTCGAGTACTGTACGAGTACTGTTACATACCGCTATTTACCATGCACGGAATTGAAAAAGGGTTTTGTTACAAAGAGCCTCTCAGGGAGAGGGTCCTGCTGACCTCGTGTGTATAATTCAATTTTCGTTTCAACCTTTTTCCTTCGTCCCCTCCCCCCCCCCCGGAAATTTCATGATAGATTTGGGATATCATGCGTCTTGAAGAATTGAATTGAGGACAGATGTGGAATGATTTGAGATGTCTGGAGAATCTGATAATCCTTCACCGACAAGAGTCCCCTGCGAGCAGCAGAAGCTAGGATGACGTTCTGCGGAATATATACTCCCCTCCGCCATCGTGTTGTCTGGGGCGTAGGCCCTCCCTCTGGAATGTGCCCCCGGGTACATGTACTGTACTAGTACATCTCCAATGAATACGGTATCGTGCCGGGCTGCTGCTGCGGCGCTGGAACCTCCACTTCCCACACGCGCCGGGTGGTGGAGGAGACAAGGACGGGCAATGGCACAATACCGTGCTCGGTCACTCGGAATTGAGTGTTGATGAGGTTGTAATTTTTCGATGGCAGGGCATGACGGCGTTGAACTTTGGCATCCCTTTGCCCTAACCAGGGGCTTGCTTCTAGGTATGATATGATGCTAAATCTGATACATCCGAGCGCCTATCACAGTTCGTAGAGAACAGGTTCAGGGCAATTGATAAATTTACCTGCGGCCGTCGAAATGGCCGATTGCGGACTCCGTTCACCGGACCACAACTCCCAAGGGAGTATCATAGGAGACTTACCGGTATGGGTAACTTATGAGGTTTTGCGTGAGTACCGGTGCTGGGGAGGTACAGTACTGCACCCAACTTGCACAATCGCCGGTTCCTTCAAAAACCCTGTCATGTTCTATCGTAACTTAAATATCATACACAGTATGATATTGCACTGTAGTCTACAGGTACCGGTATCATAGTCCACAGATAAAGTGCCCACAAGGGTGCCAACCGCATCGAAGCGCCTGCCGCGCCGTCTAGAATAATCTCTACCGCAGGGCAACCTATTTATTGGGAGAAAAATCTATGCTGAGGTTGTTACAGTTTCTGCATCTCGTGCATCGATGCCTGTGTGGGTCTGGTACCGTTAAGGACCGAACTGTGATGAACTCTGCGCCCGGAAAACTTTCGCAGGGCCCTCAGCACTGATACTCGTACACTCAGCAAGCAGCAGCTAATTTATCGCTATCACGCAGATGCCTAAAATCCCGATATGGAGGTATAGCCCTGCATGAAATCCCCGATGAAAATTAACCTATTTCACACTCCCTCACTCCCTTACTCCTGGGCGAAGAAAAGAAAAGAAAAGAAAAAAAAAAAAAAGTACCAGTAGAGACCAAGGCTGGAGGGAAAAAGAGGATTCGGTCGGGGGAGGGAGAGATGAGCTTCCTTGTGCTTGCCACCCCCGCCCGCCTCACCCCCGCCGGGCCAATCCACCACGTCAACGTCCCTGCTTCCGTCCGCCATCGCCACCCTTCTTCTTCCTCTAGCTTGTTTGTTTGACCAATGATTTCTCCCCTCAACCCCCTTTCTTACTCACCCACTTACTCAACTCGACAGTGCTTCTACGAGTACCGACTTTGCTCAACTTGTAGACTAACGGTGGATCTGGCCAACGCACCAACGGTTCGCGTGATCTGGGGAAGAGGCAGGACCGGATGGCCAATAGAAACTTTTGGGGGCTTCCGAGCATCCCTAACTCTAGGAATCTTCGCTATCTGCCTTGTCGTCATTTTGGAACGGGTTAGTTGACTTTACTCTGGCAAGATTCTCGTCACCTTCCAACGCGCTTGGCACTAAGAGCCTCATCTGGACATTGGGAGCCTACACACAGTAAGATCAGCCACCCTCAGATGGGAAAAGAGGAGGGACCACCTGCTCCTCGACAACTAACAACTCATCAGATCGACACCTTTGTCCGTGCGGCCTCGTGGGGTTTTAGATAATTCCGAAGGTTTCAATCATTTATATTAACCTAATAACGTCACATCAAGCAAACCATAAAAAAAAAAAAAAAAAAAAGCAAGCAAGCGAGACTAGATTAAACAAATCCATCCACATCCTCAAAAACGGGCTCTCGGGTGCTCATCAAGTGTGTGTTTTCCCCGCTGTTAAATTATGGGTGTGGTGCAGCAAAGTGCCCATCTTGCACAAGGATCCACCATGTGGGCAATTCACTATCATACCATTCTTGAATTTTCTCGACGCTCAATTTTTTTGGGCTTAGTAGAAAAAAGTTCGCTGAATATCCAGCCGTGCATCGCGGGATGTGTTTCCGATTAATGGTCCTAGTGCTGGGGTTAATCCGCGGAAGCCTTCATCGCGGAACGAAGGAATATACTGAGTACCTACCCTTGGAGGATTGATATCCTTTTTCACTGTTCGAGCACAGCACACTACTCGTACTGGTGCAGTTGTGGCAATTGAGCTGCTCGCTTAACGTGCCCGGAGAGGGGAGAGTGTGGGAGAGGAGGGGCAAGTGCTGCATACAAAATTCAAGGAATTTGTATGGAATTCTGGGATTTGTATGGCACACTCCCCCCCCCCCCATGGCTCATTAGAAACTTACTGCAGCGGATTCAGTTCAACCGGACTATCGTACGAGTTCTGTACAAGTACTGTACAGTACACTTTTCGAAAATCCCTGCACTTGGTCAGTATTAAGTAAATACCACTTCACTTATGACCTCCGAAGCCTTGATATAATTGTGCCCCCCCCCCAAATGTTGGCTTCTCAGGAATAGGAAACATCATGTTGCGTGATAGAGCTGCTGCATTCTTCCTTGAAACGGGCGATCTGTGGCCTTGCTCTTTACACCCTCCTAGGGGATGGTGCTGCATGTCATTGGATGATTGCCAGCTGCTGCTGCACCCTCCCGAAAGTGGTTGAACAACTGGCTCAGAGAGTAACAATTTTGTCTAATTTAGGTTGGATAATTTCTACTAGACTGCTGTGGTGGTTGCTGTGGTGGTGTTGCCTTGAAATTATTCGAATCGTGATGCTGCGTAGTAGTGGTTGACGCGAATATTATCTCACTTTCAATATGGTGGTTGCTGGAGGAGGTGATTGTGGGAATATGTAATTGTTAGCCAAACCTCGGGACTTGAATATCAAACTTTAGATTTCAAATCCAACTTATCGACAATATGCATTTTAGATATCCACCTGGTTCATAAAACTATAATACCCTTCAATAACAAGATAGATACTATTGTTACCACAGGACGAGTACTCCGCACTGTCTGCCGGTGCTAGCCACTCCCCCAGTCTCCCGACGTATTTCCAGCGGCATAGAATCAGGCTCAGGCGGACATACATACAATACCGCATTATCAGAGGCAGCACGCGCGTTACCCAGTGGCTAGCAAATCAGCACGACCGCCTAGTTTTTGATACTGCTCTTCTCACAGGCACTGGCCTGGCTCCTTGATATAACACGACCCCTCTTTTAATGCCGCTGCCGGGTGCTTCCCTTAGACTCCCCTTGCCTCGTCTGTATGCTGCACCATCACTCCATGGCACTTGTGCTCGTTGGATATCGAGCCTGCACCAAAGATTACTTGAGTACCGCACATCTTCAATGTGGAAGGAAATAAGCAATCTCTGCCGCTACCATCCCGGTGCCTCGGAATGAGCGGTGTCTTAACGGTAACCCTACGACTTGTCTTCACCACCAAGTGATATCTTCAACCTATCCATTGATGATACTCTCCCCACTTTAACGTAGCATAACACAGCAACTGCATCGTCTTGCCTAACATTCCTCTAGCCCGGTGCACGCCCTCCCTCCCCCTCCTTAAAACGTCACATTTCGATAACCCATATGCGGGAGCATGGATTGGACCAGCTCAAAAACCCCTCTAACAATTCACATCGCCCATCCCAGCCACCCCAAACACACTTGGTTTATATCCACCACTACCACCGTCGCCTCCTCCTCATCCCCCATTTATTGGCCCACGACCCACCCACGCGGTTTCCAATCATATGAAACTAACCACCAGTGGATGGATACGATACGTGGCCGCTATGACTCTATGGATCGGAAGTGAGGTGTGCTATCACGAACAAACCAAATTTCTCCTTAGCCACCCATTTTTCTTTCCCCATCCACATTGGCTTGGAAACGGCACCATACGGTATGCTGGAGTGCAGTCTCTTTTGATACTTGATTATATTTGGATCTCTTTCACGGGTGCGCTCGATTTGCGTGCGTAGTGGTCCTGGGAAGATCGATCTGCTCCGAATGAGAAATCCAAGTGGGTGGTTGCGGAGGTGGCGCAGACATTTTGTTTTGTCTCCCTTTTTCCTTCCCTTTCCTTTTCTCGCTTGTTTGTTTACCATTTCCCGTTTTTGTAGAGAACATGCTAGAAGGTATTTCCATCTTGACCAGCTATGGTTTGCCCAACTGACTGTCCGATTGGGGATTCGGTGGGTGCGGGTTAGTGGTGAAATCATATCCAAGTACCGGGGCAGTATGATAACCATTCGAGAGTTCTTGAACAGGGTTCACAGGCGGTCACTCGCGGATATGCGAGGGAGTGCGGAAGGTTAGTAAGCGCACATAGAGTAGGGTCGCTATTCTGGGAGGGGTTCGCGCAATTAAACGCGGGCGATATCAAAACCCGGGAAAATAGAGTAAACTTCCAGTAACTTTGTAATTCGGCGCAAATTTTGATGCCTAAATCAGAGCTAACACCGCAAAAATACACATCTCGAACCCCCTCGTGGCCGGTATCATCCCCATCATCAAATTTACCGGTAACAGCCAAGTTACAAAATTTAATGTTCCATCTTTTCTTGCAACACATAAGAAGGAATTGAAAGTTTACCCCTGTGTATAGTCTCACAGTAGTCTCTCCGGTTCAGTCCCCACTGAGCGGACTGGCCACATTGCTGCTTTTGAATTTTCTTCGAGCAAGCAAGCTCGGGGCGGGGGGATCGAGGAATCGTGCTGGCCGCAGGTGTGATAAGAATAATGTGTTGCTCGGTCCAGCTACAGTACGGCAAATTGATGAGATTTGAGAAGTACATCCTGTCTTCATCCGCCCTAGGTGATGCTAGAGTAATAGATGTCAGTGTCATTTAGCGTGCACAGCTGACGCACCGTGGGTGAAAGGATCACCTGTTCGTATAAGAGGGTGTATAAGATAATCTCGGTTGCTTTTCAAGTTCTACTCTAGCTGACAGGTCCGGGAAAAGGACAGAACAAACTATATTAAAGATGAGGGGCTCCAAAATTATCTCCTGCTTCCTACAGCACTCTTTGCTCTTGCATAACCTTCGAACAAGTGGCAGGGGATAAGAACATCCCCTGCAATCCTCCATATCAAAAGAGAGATAACACCGAGACTCCCCCTCTCCAGAGTTTTCCAGCAACAGTGCTATCACCCCCGGGTGCCTTCTACCGTCAACTCCATAGCCCTTGCGCAGCCCGTCGTCCTCTCCCACAAGTTGCGTTTCAAGTGCCATCTAGCATCAACGATAAAGCAGATTGACGGAACTGAGCGCAAGAGAAGGAGCTGGATTAGCCTTCGGTGCTGGAACGCCCACAGACAATCAGATCCCATGTTCAACCTCTCGCCTCGTGGCGTTTGGCTTGTAATGCTTGGGTGTGCCTAAAGGGTAGAAATCATAGATTGGGCTGCCCCCTGATTTGGTTAAGCTCCATTGCTCTATCCTCTAGCCAGAGGATACCTATCGGGACCACGGACACCTTAGAGCTTGGGGGCCATCCCGGATAGGTGTTCGGAAAGAGAACTCTTCGGTTGTAAGGTGGTATCCTGGGCTGGATATGGCCTGTTGGAGGGGGAAGAAAGGGTAAAGGGGAAGTGTTTGGTTTGGGTAGGGGGAGGCTTTAGGTTGGTTGAGGGGGTCAGGCCGGGGGCATAGATGAGGGCTTGAGGGGGGCAGAGAAGTGGAGTTCTTGGTGTCACTGATTGCTGAGACGCGATTGGAATATACTGGACTTCATTTATTAGTCTTCTCCGCAAAAGTAATATTCCGTTTTTTGAGATAGAATGGGCACATTCTTTATTTAACGGGACTAAAGCGTTTGTCTATGTATGCAGTGGAGGTTTCCTTCGCTTTGGGATATTTGGCGGACGCTTGAAATACGCACTGTAAGTCGTTAATACTACCTTCCCCAACATTACACGCCTCTTGACTTAGTGGGTCGAAAGAAATTTTGTCACCGATAAGGTTTGGTAGGTCCCCCGGGCAAAGTCCGTCAGTTGCTGCTGCTCTTGCGTTTATGGTTTGAGGGTGGGCTGGCGGTGAGTATGATACTAGGCTTTTGTTCTCCGTTTTTTTTTTTTGAAGATCTCCAAGCTGTCCCAGGTGCTCCTTGCCCCCAAGGGCCCTGCCTCGTTGTCCCTAAAGATTCTCTTCTCTTCTCGAACACCATTGCGAACAAACAATAGGAGGAATCTGTTACTACGTGCTTCGAGAAACAGTACCACCTTCGTGATACCTATAAGTAAAGAAGAATGCATCCTCTCCCAGCTTATCCAGCGTCCGTGCAAGAAGTATCTTTACCCCAACTCCACAATCTCCGGATATCCCAGGGTACAGATTCCGATCGTGGTATATTGGTGTTTGGTGGTGATATCACCGCACTTGTTTTTCTATAAAGCGCAATGTGAGAGCGCACGGCACTGTGGCGATAACCGAAAGGGATTGGCGAAGACGTGCTCCGGAAATTTGTGCCTAGTTTTCACCTCTTCATAAACAGTCACTCATCTCCCACTTCCTTCCCACCGGGATGAAATACGTGATACCTCGTAATAGGCGGCGAGAGGGAGGGGGACCAGCTATTTACGAACCTAACACGGAAGAAATAGTGATCGACAAACTTCCCCGGGAGGAACCTAGGATTGCGGAAGAATAGGAGTCGGATAACGTTTATATCGACTAGCCAGGTGCTCATCAGTCGGAAAGGGAGCGGGGGCCTGAGCGATCTTGGGAGAAAACTAACAAATGCCGCAGCGGCAATACGGGCGGGATGGAATGGAACTTGACCGTTATGGAGTAGCTCTAGGAAAGGTATGTGGAAAACTTCGTTCTGTCCTTGTCCTCACGTTCTCATGCTTAACCAAACTAACGGCGGAGACAGGAGTATATATAAAGCATAAAGTATCCATCCTGATTCTTCCGTGGCTTTGCACACATATTCGTTTCCCTCCGCGAGTGTCCCCCGATACCTCGCGCACTCCCGCGATAACAAAGGAAAGACATGTTTATAGAGGCTTCTCCCTAAATCAAAGCAACACCAGAGCAAAAGAAACAGACTACAACATTCCTGCAACTTCCACGACCAACCACAACTCACTATCTTCCTCCATCGGCTCTGCCGAATGGAGTGTTTGGGAACGCTATGGGGGAACACTCACATTGGCGCGATTGGCAATGGCGGCCCAGGCTTCAATTACATCCCCTCCCTGATACCAATTATATTTAGCCAAGGAATGAGTACCCGGGGGTGGTGCTTGCCGGATGGACTCGTTCTCTCTCGCTTTTGCCCAGCAAGGCTTGTAGAAGCTATTAGCTGAGGTAGAGAAATGTGGGAGGTCCGAGATTGGCCGAAGCGGGATCGGTGATGTGGCTTGTAAGTTGTAGGGCTTGTTTTGGGGCCGGTGGCCACCGTACTGTGATTGAGGATTTCAGGTTTAAGGGAGTTTTGAAAGACTTCTTTTCTATTGGTATGTAGGGTTGCTAAAAGAAAGCTAGTGTTTTTTTTGGTTGGTCGTAGAAGTCTCTGGAGTGTGGAGGGTTCTGGAGCCATCGCGATTGACGGAGAAGGTCCTCGAGACACGCCTTTCCCTTGTTATCACGAGAGTGAGTAGAGGAACGGGGACATGCTTGGAGGCATAGAGATATGTGTGGTGATCTGTAGAAGGATCAAAGAGGTTTTTATCATGCTTTACACATGTTCCTGTGTTTACCGTTAGTTAGGATAGAGAGAGATAGTAAAGCACGCAACCTTACCCTCCTTATTCCTCCTACCATCTTTCCGAACAAATGTAAAGCGGGTCCACTCACTTTGCCGCTGAGCTATTGCCGATTCCTTTGGGGGGAAGTACGGGATGTTCTGTAAAAGACCGAAGGAGCTGGATGGGAGGGGGGTGCGATCTCTTATGCTTTGTACCATAAGATAGTTGTCTAGATTCCCCAGTCTCTAGATTAACGAACTAGAGTCCATGTTAATCTTACTACTACCTAAAATTCTATAATCCGAGCGGATGAACGAGATTGGCAAGGAGGGATTCTCACGCTTAAGAACCAAACCAAAGCCAGGAAATTGTTTGAGCGGCTTCGCCAATGTACTGCTCGTGTGGATGGTAATTCCCGTGGTGTTATTTCGAGGGTTTTTCCTAACTGAAAAGAGTTTTTCATTTAAAGCGTGTATTTTCCCCGGTGGAAACACCTGTCGCCCCAAATCAACCGCAATCACCACACCTAGGACTACTAGGGAGAAGTTAGTGAAGCCGTTATGATAGCCTTTACAGGAATTTCGGGAGGGGGTTTTCAGTGGTGCTCGAAAGTTGTACCCGTACCAGAGCGCTATCCATCATACCTCTTGCGGGTTTCCCAGCGTTTATGCCGAAAGGTCCTCGAGGGTGATACTCCCATAAATCTGGAAGGGTGAAATTGGGAGTATAGGGGCCGTAGAGGTGATACGGTAGTAGATGGTGCTGGAGCATAATGGTGTTATGGAATCAGGATGGAATGCTGGAAAAAGGCATCTTTCACTATAAGATTGGATGCTGGGTGATCATATCTTTTTGCTGTCATAGTTCGTGTTGAGCTGGAGCGGCCACGCTCGTGGCCACTGAGGTCGATTACGGTAGCAAATTTTCGTCGTAATGTTATGGGAGAAAAAAAGGAGGAAAAGGGAAGATAGAAAGGTAGAAACTCAAAAAATTAACAGTATTTTCACTGCATCAAGACTCTAGACAGCCCCCCTCATTTTGAGTAACACTTTGCTACACTTCAATGTCATTTATTATCTTTATTCGCCGACATGGCATCAACACGAGCTTTTACAGCCCCCTTGACAAGCTCCTTGGGCCCGAGAACTCCCCTCTTGAGCATTCCTTTCACAGCGGAACCATAAGCTCAGGGAAAACCTCCGCTTGAATATATTCCCTCCTCACCATGTAAACAGATAATTACCTTTTCCCTTTAGTGTTAGGTTATTGGATGTCGCTATTGTGGGCGGAGAAGAAGCTGCAAACGCTACACCGCAGACAGGACATTCAGCTCAATGTCCATATCACCAGCATGTTCATGAAATAGATGATAGCTATCTGACTCCCACCCTATATCATATCCCTTAATCTGTGTGCAGATTTCGCAGCTTTCCAACATGGTTAATGCCCTGGCTTTACCTCTGATTTTTGCCAAAGGTAATATGGTCAAGGGGTCCTTGATGTGACCTGACTAGTGGAAAATGACACGATGGCCACACTTGAGCTACCCCTAAGCTCGAAACACCCTAGGAAACTAGGAAGCAAAAAATACAGACGAAGAGATAGGACCAGGAGCACCCCTTCTATCCAATCCCCAGAAGATTCACCCCCTGTAAGCGTGGGGGTGGGTGATAAAGCGTGCCCCCGTTCATATCAACAGGCTGGTTTTAAATGGTTGGCCTGCGGACCCGAATACCAGAGGGCTGTCAGGTAAAAGATGAGAATTCCGTAGCATCCGAGGAGGGTTATGTGGAGGAAAGCGCTACTGGGGGAGGTCAAGTTGGATTTATGATACCCATACCAGCAATATTGGGGGACAAGTGTGGATTTGAAAATATAAATTGAGTTTTTTTTCCCCTTCTCTGTATACTGTGTGTAAACCCTCCCCTCCTCACCATCTCCATCGAGATCTATAAGATGTTTTTTCCATGCTGGTCCGGACAACCAGGCCTGGTATGTTTATGGTAAGTGGAGGGATACAATTGAATTGTTGTATGCCATGGAAACCTGCCATTCGAACTCTATACCAACTATAGGCTACATACCAGAACATATCGAGCTTCTCTGGATCAGCGAATAGGCTAGGCTGAACTCTCAAAGTTCTATTCTCCTCCCTCTCCGCCAGACATCTCCTACGTCCATTATTAGCTATCAAACCTACAAAGTTGGTTTTTCTCGTCGCTGATCTATGAGTAATCCCAGCGATATCAACTCCCGTCAGTCCTACCCGTCCGAGTATGGTCCTTTTATAGGTGCGCAATCCGGGTAGCGCTGCGAGGTCTACTCTAGGTTCGGGGGAGCCTAGGTTACCTCGGTCATGTTTCCGGCCGGCAAAGCTCGGCGACTCCAGGAATTCTGAAGATATGATATCCGCATAACCGCTCCTAGGGTCTTTTTATTTTATTTTTTATAACACGCGATAAAAATGACGGGTTATCGCTAACAATAACGATAACTTCCGGCAGTGAGGGATGAAGCAAATGACAGTGGACAGGAGCAGGAAAGCGTATCTGCAACCCTGGCAGAAACTGACGGGCGCCACTCGAAATAAAAACGAGAAAAAGAACGGGGCCAGCTACCCGGACCCTGCACCAAGGGGCCACTCGGGCCCGGTACGGCCCGGGACCCGGAAATCCACCTTCCCCAAGTCAGGTCTGGCATGCCAAACCCGACGAACCGGCCGCTTGGGATCACCGAGCAATCCACTATCCTCTCCAGTGATCTAGGCCATACTTGGACATGAATTGCTCTCAACCTATTGACACCACGAAATCTATGCGAATTGTGAGCGCGTCACCAGGTCTTGGGTGGTTGGGTGTGGCCTGACCTAGGGCTGATAATTCGAGAATATCATACGATATTCTCTATCGCCACAGAGACCACCAGCCTTCACTCCAGTGATTGGCAAAACCTTTGCGAGGCGATGCATAGACATTTAGGTCTAAATCACCAAAGAGGATGCCTCCATGTAGAAGAATAGGGTGAAAAAGGAAACCGTCAAACACAATGGCTAGCTCAATGATATCTTCAAAACATGCAATCCCAGCTCAGCTTGTAGTAACACAGGTCAGCAAATTCCGAACGGCTTGGACCAATCGCAAAGCCAATCTCCCCTAGGGCTCATGCAACTACAGGCCCGAGCGAAAATTGCAGTACTCGGTCTCCGAAAATAAGTATGATTGGATAAGAGAGATGTTGGGAATAGTGAAGCATCACTTACAATCACTCGATCACCTCCCAACTCTCGACCCCGTGTAGCCGCTCTCGCTTTGCGCCGGTCAGTTGTTAGTCACACTAATCTATCCACACCGCTCGGTGTGTCATTTTTTGTTCGCTCGACTCTCCCAGCTCTTACCATGTCACATATCAACAAATGATTGGGGCGTTGACACCTTGCAGGAACCGTCCTCGAGCCATCCTCTGATGTTGTGCCAATCTAATTTCAAAATGCAGGGAATGCTCCAGAGTACCGCATCTTGAAGTACGGTAATTGCAGGGATCCTGGTTCTGCACAAAGTCTTTATGCAAATAAATTCTTGGAGGCACAGGAGCGAAAAAGAAAAGAAAGCCCGTTCTCCCCACTCATTCTTTTTTTTCCCTTTCGCTTTTCAAGATTTTTTCCCATCTTCCCATCTTTGCTTATTCGTGCATCACCTATCTTCCAACTTTCGAGATTCCCAATTTTCAGGGAATCTTTATTTGGCGGTAAGTAAATATCATAGAATGATATTATTATAGCGAGGTTTCCTCTATATATGCCCTCATTAGTTAAAGCCGTTCTCTGCACAAACTAATCACTTTGCGCTCAGGGAAAGAGTATTTATCCCCCCCCCCCGAAATCATTTTCTCCATGTCTGCAATGTCCAATACCCTCACTAAAAGTATCACCGTTGCTGCTCTCACTGGCAGGGCAGGAGTCCAGATCAGGAATGGACAGACGATAGTGCAGCACCTCGGTGGAAAACGAGAGTCAGTCGCATTCGCATCCAGCCCAGAACTCCTTCACTCGTTTATGCGGTCACCCCGTGTCACTCGTGCTTTTAAATGTCTAAATATGACACAGCGGATCCAGCTTTCGTAATCCGAAACGCAGCCATTCGGCATGCCTAAAAGCCGTACCATCTATCGTACTGTACAAGAGGCCGGCTCCGGTGGCCGGGCAAATCCTTTTGAGGCCGACGCCAAGATTTCCTCCGCGGTGACATCTTGAGAATGGTCCCGCGTTGCCCTGCCCCTTGATAATCAGCAAATACTGTACCGCCGGCAGAGAATCCATTTTTTCCTGTCTCCAGTTCTCCGGGACGAGTGCTACAGGTAGCACAGCTCATAGATCTCCCTTCAAATTAAACAACCGAATATCCAGCTCTTCATCTTTCTGTTAATGCCAATAGGGTATCCACTCCGGTGGAACAAAAAAAAGAATTGCGGAAATCTTTCATCGTTTTTTGTTATTCCGCTCACGTGGTATCTTTTCTTTTCTTTTTCTACACTTTGTTCCGGTTTCTCCACGCTAAGGGTGGTGGTGGGAATTATACCTTTTTCGCATCTAGCGTATCTCTCCCGCAGTATCTCTCAAATAATAGCACGATGTCCTCCCCCCCCCTCCCTCCTTGGCTTTCCCACAGCGACCACTTGGGAAAATGATATGAGTAAATCCTTTCTTGGTTGTTTGGTAATGGGCACAGCGCCTTTGGCCATTGGCGCCTGGTCGCACTAGTGTCGTTTCTTGATTTCAGCCAACGATAAACTGGAGAATTTTCACTTTTAGGCCCACTTCTCTGCATATCCTACTAGTCTTTATAGTCCGCAGACCCTAACACATCTTTGGCGTGATTACTGAGCCCCGGAGGGCTCGATTCCCATAACATTTCAATGGAAATGTATCTAACATACCCTATCTTTGATAATTAACTCTTTTTTTTTTCTTTTTTTTGGAACCCTCCTGCCGAGAGGGGTTTTCCCTCAACCGAAGGATTAGTAAATATTCCCGTTAATTTTGTTGCGTGTTCCAATAGGTACATGACCGGAAATAAATTATCTGCAGCGATATGGAAAATCACAGGATATCACTCGCCCAAGTGCGCCAGCCAAACTGTGAGCTCGATGAGATAATGACAACAATTGTATGAAACCGACTGAGTGCTGGGGAATCGCTGGTGGGAGGGTACTTCCCTCCTATGAGCTATCTTGATTCGTTCCGCGTGCCTCAATGGCTTATCTTGGTCGCAGACGAAAATCCTAATTGATTAGCCACCAGGAGTAAGAAGGTGATACCCAACAGTTTCTCACTGGGTCGCTTGGGTGAACTGATTTCCCATTGATCCGTGAAACCGTCCGTTGAGGTTGTGCACCACCGATCGGGGGGGGAGCACGCAGAAGAGGTTTGAAAGAAAAGTAAAAACGATCTTAACGTGATAGCAAACTAATCTACCAAGCTTTGAAAAATGAGCTCTATGGAACGCACAGTTCTGTCAGACTCTCACCTGATCAAAAAAGGGGGGAGATGAATCTTTCGTTTCAGGTCAGCCCTCACAAACCCGCCAACCGAATTTTCCACGTCACACACGATTGCACTCATCGATTCTAGGGGGGGGGGTTGCAGGTTGACATATGCAACGCTCTTGAATGTCTTCTGCAGCTTTGTATTTGATATCGCCAAAGCTCAACTGTTACGACCAGCAGCAATCCCAGAGCGGCCGAATTGCACGGGTGGATCACCAACTAGAGTTCTTCATTCAGGGTCGCTCGAGATCAAGGCGGCTGTCTATCGACCGCCAACCGGAAATCCCGCGCGTGGCCGTGAGATATCTCTTGACACTTCACGTGCATCAGAGGCTTTTAAAACTTTCAATATTTTCTTGGCCGCGATTAGTATTTCATGTCATAGAAGCAACTGATCAGTTAAATCATGTACTCTACGAGTAGCTACACCAGTGGGTGACCAAAGATTCATGTTCAGGCCCTCGTATATGT